TTATTATTATTATTATTATTATTATTATTATTATTATTATTATTATTAAGTTGTAATGATGTTGTTTGTACTGTTTTTTAATTTTATTAAAGAGGCCCCTGAATATCAGTTAACCTACTGGGCTAACTGGAAGGGTTACAGTCTTTAAAGATGGTTGAAATAAAAATAAATTTAAAAAAAAACAGTATATGTTTACATTGTAGGGCTATACCTAGATACAGGTGATAGACTACTGTAGCCCGTATTTCAAAAGTACTAGGTGTATTATTGTATCATTTCTTGCTATAAATTATCAATCTTTTTTTCATTTGCCAGTGGCCGTGCCTCACCGTTTTTTTAGATGTATTGTAAAACTGATTATTTTAAGACAAAAATAGTTTTGATGAAAACCATTGGTAACGATTAACGAGATATAGAATTTTTAATATTTAAAAACTGGGGGAAAAAGGGGCATACCCATCCTTTTTTCCACCCAGTGATTAAATATTTAAAAATCTGTATCTCATTAAAGCATTCCTGATTTTTTTTGTAAAACACTGTTTCTGAGTCATCAAATAATCAGTGGTTTTTTTCCCCCAGAGTCTGGCTTTAAGCCAGAATTTATGTTTTCCTAAAGATTATTTTTTTCATATTCTAAAATTCAGATGTATTTTTTAAACATTTCATTGTTGCCTTCTGAGTGTGGTATTTACAACAACAATATGTACCTGTAGAAAAATAGTATGCAAAGTTATTTCCTCTCTGTTGGTTCATGTTACACTTCACACACCTCTTAAATGAAGCTGGCATTGACTGCCAGCGAAAGCTTGCGTCAATGAAATAACATCTTTAATGTTAGTCTCCGAATATTGCCCCTTCGTTACTTTTTGTATATTTGTTAGATACAGTAAGTGTTTACAATTTAGTAACTGTTTAGTGTAAGAAGAAAAATTGCAATATCATTTGTTTGGGCTAATGGCCTATTTAATTCTCTTTCATTGGCAAATGGACAAGTATGATTGATTCTTTGAATGCCAAATATCTTTAAATATAAACAGTGAGTACAGTACAACAAACATACTGTTTTGTACAACAGAATGTACTGTTGTTTTATGTAATCGTATGAAACAAATTTCTGTAAATAGTTTATTACTCAGTCATTTTTTTGTTGTACGAACAGTAACCGAATTAAATGTTAACTCACATAAATCCATGTAAACCTTTATGCAAAAATTTCACATCTAAATTTGCTTTTCTAAGAATTAGCTTTGAACTGTATAGATTAGATTTGAATAGCAGATCAAAGAAGTAAAAATAGACTTAAAAGAACAATGTTTTAACACTTACCAAAAGTTTGTGATGTCATCACTATCAATGGCTTTGTTGGAAGACATAACCAAAAATAAATGTAAAAAATCTTCTAGACAGAGTTGTTTCTCCTATAAAGCAAAAAAAAAGAAAAAAGAAACTAATAATTAATGATTTGTTGGCACATAGAGTATAGAATGCAGAAAGCTGAACTGAGAGAAAGACAAATGAAGAGGTACTGAACAATATAGAAGAAAAGAGAGCATTAATGTCAGTTATTAGAAAAAGAATGAAGAATTGAATTGGATATGTTTTAATTGGAGAGACTTTTTTGAGAGAAGTCATAGAGGGACAAGTGGAAGGGAAAAGACTAAGAGGAAGAAAGAGGATAGGGAGGGTAGACGATTTAAAGGATAGGAGGCCTTGTGGAAATGAAGAGAAGAGCGGAGGACAGATGCCAGTGGAGGAGTTGGCAGCAAAGGGCCTGTCTGATGACAGAACTCTGAAGAAGAAGAAGGATGCACATATAGGATTATTATACATGATAAATAAAAACTACTTTTAGAAAATTAAATTAGTTTAATGAAGTAAGTTTTTTAACACAAAAAAAGTAACTGGTATAGTAGGTAGAGGGGTACAATTTAAAGTACCATCATCCCACTACCACCTCCTCACCATTCTATCCAAGTACCTGGTAAAAGTCATCACTCTACTTTAGTTCCTGTACAATGGAAAACTAATAGTGAGTGATTAGGTTCATCCTTTAAAGCCCCTCTCCCACCTACAGTAGGTCACACAAGTTTTATTAGCTAAGAACTTGTACAACTTGTAATACGCTTGGGAAAGGACCTCTATATGAGCTTACTACGCGTTAGCTATGAGTGCGGTACAACCTTACGGAGTTGGTTACAAGTTATGTATGAATTATGCCAAGCAAAGCACCAAGTTTACTACAAACTTTACAAGATTATTACGGGTGAAACAAGTTTATACCGAATTAGATACAAGTTTAATAAGAGCCAACTCTGTGCGCTCGTATTCTTGTAGAGGAGCTCGTTTCAAACTTGTGGATCACAAAACCGCTGACGAGTATCCCGAGTAGTGTACAAGTTAGGTAGAGTAGGAGTACCCTGAGTACTCTGCGAGTTACCTACAAGTTCTTCGAGTTTACTACGAGTTGTCAACACGTGCTGCTAATTTTGAACATGTTCAAAAGTATACCGCCAAAATTCAAAGCTGCTACAATAGGGTATAAGCGTTCTCCCGAGCATCCTGGGCAATTCAGCAAACTCTTATTAAACCCTAGTAGGAGAGGGGCTTTTTAACTCTAATTGAGTAAATCTGGTAGTGGTAGGAATAAATTAATCCCTTCTTTTCCTTAATTCTAAACATTATGATTACCTGATATGATAAAACAAATTGTGGTCAAAATCTACCTAAAATAAAATCCCAAAGCATTGTACATAATACAAAATACAAACCTTGCACTCAACAGCTTTGATGTACAAACAAGCCTTGAAATGCTTTCAAACAAACAGATCACAAAAATTTGTAAAACTCACACAATGTATGCCAGCAAAAGAAATTTGACAATAAATATATGGTATGGTATATAAAAAAACATCTGTACCACTAAATTAACACTTTTACTTACCCAGCTCGGAAGCCTACATTCTTATGATAGACCTACATTAGCAGAGTTAATACAAATAATTCAACCCCTAAACAAGATAAATAGAATGAATATACTCTTCGTTATACACACTGGTTAAGGTAGAACTTGTTGTAAACAAGCAGTTTAAAGAACAATGTAAACACCAAGGCCTGAAATCTGGAGTTTGAGCTGGGAACATGTGATATAAACCTGACCCTTCCACCGCATTTCCGTTCATACTTGATCATTATCATTCCATAGGGCAAAAGTGAAAAATCACTGTATAATTTCATGTTTAAGCTTTTATTGTACCCTAAAGGATAAATATTATCCTGGCTTATTGTATAAAATGTCAATAAACGACATTCTGCATACATTTAGGCCTGGGACCTATAAACGACATTTAACTACGTCCCACCCACCGATTGCCAAACAGTCAGATGGCCACCCTATACAGTAGTACTCCAAAGGCTGTTGTAAAATCAAACTATTTATAGCATGATACAGTAGGCCTACACTGGACATTGTTGAAATACGGTACACTGGTTACAGTACATACAATACCTTTTTTTGAAAAATGGGAAGTACACACGAGAGTACAGTATCTACCTCAGCCCCAGTATATGGTTATGGCTTAGGCAAAAGAACTTAAAATATTTATTCATCTCTCGATATGTTTGAAAAATGGCATCCCCACGTATAATTTTTAAAGTCTTTCAAATGTCTTAATTCAACAATTAGAAAGCTGATTCTTTTAATCACATACAAAAATGTTTTTATTAAATTGGGACATGATATGCCTATATTTTTTTTAATATACTTCTCTCAAGTCAACACAGTTAACTTAATACAACAAATTGATTTTTCAATGGGATGTAGGGTACAATGGAAATGGGGACAATCCATGGCCTCCATGACCCTCCCCCTCCCACCAGCCCTGGTGCCAGCATGGACGACATACCATTTACCAACAACATAAAAATGTCCTAAATATACAACCGAAGCCGACATAAGTTTAATTTTTTTTTTTAAATAAAATTATAAATGTATCCCTTTGTGAAAGTTTTCTCCAAGTGTAAATTCACTGTACCCGTAGCAAACCAACATTTTTATTATTACCAGCATCATACAAATTCTAACATTTCAAGAGATTGTCTTCCATTTTTATTTGTTTGAACTGAATATTTTCAGGGCACTGTACGTTTTAACGCCTACGCCCAACATATAGTTAAAAAAGCAACAACCATTTTTCTTGCTTTCCATAATGCAATAAAAAAAAATTACTACCAAAAAAATCTGAAGAAACACTATATATTGCACCACTGCATGATATGTATTCAAATTTAATTCTATAAAGCTAAGCTCAATCTCTCTGCTCCTCATCCTCCTCCCTCTAGTCTGAGCCTTAATTATCACTTTAAGAATCTACTTCCTTTGTAGTTATTAATATTTTGCATTTATCTTTTAAAAATGCAATAATTTCTCTGCCTGTTTAAATAGAAGTGAACAATTTCAGTTTTAACTTTTTTTTAGTTGTAATGATAGATGAGGTACTTTTACTAGTTTTATATAGTGAAAAAAAAGAAGTTTCTTTAATGAATTAGTCATTAGGGTGTAGCATAAAATTGATTTTATGTCACATATGTCAGTCTGCGACCAAAATAGTATGAATTGTTATAATTTCACTAAGCCAATTATTGACAAATCTACATACCATATTAAACATACCTATTAAATATTCATAAACTAAATGTGCTGAATTAATTTCAAATTTATAGTGCATTATTTACTTATTAATTTTATAATTATTAAGTAATCAGTAAACGATCAAAGTTGGTCACGGACTAAAGCAATGGTGATAGTCTCTGCAAGAGTAACCTTCAAAATTGTAAATTTTGAAGGCTTGATTTCTCAAATTCTGTTCATTAAACAGCTGTACATTTAAACTGCATAACAAAATGTCAGATCTAAATGATTCTTTTACCATTTTATAAATTTCACTTTACTGTTCAACCCTTAATTAATAAATAAAATTCATTTTTTTTTTTTTTTTTTTTTGCGCAGAGTGACTGGTTTGGCTTGTCTTAGCCATGGGTTTATTCCAGGGCCTTGCGGCTGGAAGATAAGGACTGGTGGGATTACAGTATCAGGTAATGTATTAACCTGGATACCCAGGTAAAATATAGCTCACGAGCCAAGTAAACAAATTTGGAGTGCCTTTACTTCCGTCCTTATCTGTATACTGTATTTTGGAGTTCAACACACTTAAATGTTTTTGATAAAATACAAAATCAACTGAAAGGTCTACTCTTCTGCCATACAAACCATTTTACTACAGTATACATTTTTGACTAGAGGTGTATCCCAGGGCTGTTGCGAGGACAGCCTAGAAAGCGCTAGGTTGCGGTGGTCCATTATGCGCATCAGGAAAAACTGTGATACGGGGGGAAAGGGGTCACCTAAAATCCCGACGGGGTCAAGGGACATAGACTGTTACTGTATTTTAAACATAGGAAATGTAATTAATCTTATAATTTTGTGGAAAGTATTTCTGACATAACCATACTCAATTATCCCATCGTGTCTATTATTGCACATTTTATAAAAATATTTACCATTTGATTAAACTAACATTTTTATTTCAAATAACAACAACAAATACTGTACACAACCCATCCACGAGACAGAAATTAGGTACAGTATGCTCTATAAAGAAAGACACGTTGTTTACTCATTGTTACCGTAGCATTCCATGATTTCAATTTGCACCATATTGCACAAACGTTTAAAGTGACAAAAATGCATAACTTTGAGATTTGTGATGTTGTTCATAAGTATTTAATTATATTGAGACTTCTTACACATTAATCATCCCTGAATTACTATTTAATACATTGCAAATAATTTAAGTAATGCAATGTAAACACTATAAGCACTACAACAATAGAATGGTACAATACCAGTAAAATTAATCAGGTTTTTTTTTTAAACAATGTGTATAATTTCTAGGTGAAAGTGCAGTGGTATTGTTACTCCACTAGTCAGTGGCGGAGCTAAAATTATTTTGCATGGGTGGTGCAAATTCCAATTAAGGACCTAAGGTCCAAAGGGGACAGAACTTGTGGTCGAGAGGGAAGGTTTTGGGGTGTTCCCTTTAACTAAAGTGTCCAGATGTCATGCTCCTAGAAACATTGGGGCTACAGCCATATTTATTTCCTACCTGTATCTAAATGATTTCACATTTTGTATAGTGACTTTTTTTTGGGATGAACTCTCTTTTCACCCCCTCTCCCATCCTCCCCCAGATCAGCCACTGACAGTAGTCTTCCTTTTCCAATTGTTTATGTCTTCTCCCACCTTTCTGACCACCTAGATATTTATTTATCTGATCTAAATAGGTAAAAATGCTGGAATAGGTTTATCTTGCAAAGGTAGGCGATGCGACAGTGTTATGCGATTATTTTACTCTTCAATATAGATTTTAAAATAATCTTTGTTGTATTTTTGTGTATTTTCTACTTTTTAGGCATAAAACATATTATAGGTAAAAAAAAAACATTTCCTACCGACCTACCCAACACAATTTTTTTTTTCTTTTGGCCTAATATAAACTCTTATTGTAGACATCACACAGTCCAGTCTGTACATAAACTCTATTAGAGGTTATAGGGTATACTTGCATAACATAATGCCATCAGCGTACAATTTTGTGCTATGTACTGTAGGCCTATTATTATACTTTTAGCTTTCTGAAAATCTCTGAACTAACGATCTTTTTGTCTTGCTGAGTAATTGTTTACCCATTCTGCAACTTGTAGAATTCTTGTAAACAATTTTCTCATGTATGTTCTCTCTCCTTTGTACTAACAGTATATCCAGTGTTTCAATTACCACTATTGTTTGTAATTAGGATCTATGTTTGTACAATTTCCTGAAGAAATCCACTATGTGCATGAAGACTTACAAATAGTGTTCCTTTGTGCTTTATCTTTTCATAATTTAAAATAGAACCGTGCTTCTACTGAACTGAACATTAATGGCTTTTCCCTGACTATGTTTTTTCTAT